TCCCTTCCTTCTTCCTTCCTCCTTCCTTCCCTCTCTCCCTCCCTCCCTTCCTCTCTTCCTCCTTCCCTCCTTCCCTCCCTCCCTCCCTCTCTTCCTCCTTCCCTCCTTCCTTCCTCCCTCCCTCCTTCCCTCCTTCCCTCATTCCTTCTTTCCCTCCCCCATTCCTTCCTTCTTTCCTTGCTTCCTTTCTTCCTTCCTTCCCTCCTTCCCTCCTTCCCTCCTTCCCTCCTTCCTTCCTCCTTCCTCTGCAGCCACAGCTGGAGTGCCATGGTGCAATCACAGCTCACTCCAGCCTGGAACTCCTGAGCTTAAGGGATCCTTCTGCCCCAACCTCCCAGGTACCTGAGACTACAGGTGCCCACCACATTGCCTGCTATTTTTATTTTTTCTATTTTGTTCTGTAGACCTGGGGTCTCACTTTTGTTCACGCTGGACTTGAACTCCTGGCCTCAAGTGATCCTTCCAGCTCTGCCTCCCCAAATGCTGGGATGACAGGCATGAGCCAGTGCGCCCGGCAGTCATTTTCAAGTGCACAAGTTATTTAGTGTAGCCAACATGTCACACTAGATCTCTTGACCTCGTGGTCTAACAGAAATGTTGTACCCTTTGAGCCACATCTCTGCAACCCCACAAGTGCCAGCCCCCGACATCAGCATTCTCCTTTCTGCTTCTCCGCATTGCTCCTGCGAAGGTCTCGTTTTTAAGTGAGCTGCTGCTGTGATCTTCATCTTTCCGGGACTGCCCTGACATCCTGCAGCCCGATCTCTGTTGTCACAAATGACAGTATTTTATTCTTTTTTAAAGGCTGAGGAATAGCCTCCCCTTGTGTGCAGACATTTTCTGAGCCGCTCATGTGCTGATGGATGTGCAGTTTGTTAATTCCTGAGTGACACGTGTAAAAACACACATTCAGATACAGATCATGCCCAAGGTTATAAACTATCCTCTGCTGACTTCATCTCAGGAGCTGACTGCTTCCCACTTGTGCAATGACTGGCCTCTGAGTGTGGGTTTTAATTCTGGGAGAAGCGTGCATTTTTTGGTGTGCTGAGATTCAATGGAGCAGGTTCCCGTGCACTGTTGACTTAGCCACACCAGACGCTTGGGGAGAGAATGTCGTGAGCTTTGGCCAGCGCTCAGGGGTCCTCTTGGTCTGCACTGACTCTGTTGGGAAGAAGCTCCTGAGTGCATTTGAGGGGACGGGCGTGATCCCTTCCCAGTAAAAGCCCTATTTTCTTTCTCTAAAGCAGTTTCATTTTCCTGTGCCTGGTGTGTTCTCTCCTGACCACATGCCGGTCACACGGGGCAAAGGAACACAAGCCTAACATCGTGCTCATAATGGTCGACGATTTGGGGATCGGAGATCTGGGTTGCTATGGGAACGACACCATCCGGTAAGGCTTCTCCCGGGGTTCACCGTCTCCACCCCTTGCTCAGGCTTGGGAGGCTGGTGAAGCTTGAGATTGCGTCTCCATGTATAATGAAACTCATTTACAGGGATTTTTGTGTGTGTTTTAGACTTAAAAATATGTGTAATAGGTTTTCTTTTTAACTTTTTTTTGTTGTGTTGCAGTTTTTGGCCGGGGCTGGGTTTGAACTCGCCACGTCCAGCATATGAGGCTGGCGTCCTACTCCTTTGAGCCACAGGCAGTGATCTCTTTCTAACTTTTAATTGACAGATAATAAGTATGAATAAATGGGGTCTCACAGTGCTGTTTCCAAGCACGTAATGTGCAGTGATCAGACACAATTAATTATCACATCCATTACCTCAGATATTTTACAGGCCAGGACTGTTTTTTGTTTTTTGGTTTTTTTGAGACAGTCTTACATGCCACCCTTGGTAGAGTGCCGTGGCATCAGAGCTCACAGCAACCTCAATATCTTGGGCTTAAGCAATTCCCTTGCCTCAGCCTCCCAAGTAGCTGGGACTACAGGTGCCTGCCACAAAGCCAGGCTATTTTTTATTGCAGTTGTCATTATTGTTTAGCTGGACCAGGCTGGATTTGAACCCACCAACCTGGCTGGCACTGTAATCACTGTGCTATGGGCACTGAGCCCTGTTTTTCTTTTCTTTTTTTTTTTTTTTAAAGGAATGGTCTACAACTCTTTTGCTTGAATGGCCATCAGAGCTGTCATTGTACCAATTAAGCTTGCAAGGTCATCTTAGAAAAATTTCTTGGCTCAGCATCTGTGCCTCAAGTGGCTAAGGCACCAGCCACATACACCTAAGGTGGCGGGTTCAAATCCACCTCAGCCCTGCCAAACAACAATGATGTCTACAACCAAAAAAATAGAGCCAGGTGTTGTGGCGGGCGCCTGTGGTCCCAGCTACTTGGGAGGCAGAGGCAGGAGACTCACTTGAGCCCAGGAGTTGGAGGTTGCTGTGAGCTGTGATGCCACGGCACTCTACCCAGGGGGACAGCTTGAGGCTCTGTCTCAAAAAAAAAAAAAAGAAAAAAGAAAAATTTCTTTAAAGGGAGGACTAGGCATTGGCATTGGTGCACAGTTCCCCAAGGGGAACCCCTACAAGGTGGCCGTACTGATATTCAGCAGTAAGGCTTGTGGTAATTTTTCTAGGATAAGCCAGTGAGGTTAATTGTCCCATCTTATATCCAAATACAAATACACACACACATTTACTCACCAGAATTAATCATTTTTCACTTCATAATTTGGGCAGCCAGCAGCTCACCCTCGGGTGTGTTGGGAGCTCAGCATGACTGCTGTCTGTAGGCGATAGTGTTTAGTGAATCAGGCTTGGGGCCCTTCAATATTTTATTTCATTTTACTGTCATGTTTGCAAGACAGCCGTCCACTCGGTGGACACCATGAAACCGCAGCCAGTTACGTCCAAGTGTGACAAACAGGAGCTGTGTGAAATCTCTGCTTCAGGTCACCTTGACGGGGGAAAGAAATGTCTCTGTGTGCAGGCACCCGCTCTGGGCACCTCGGAACTCTAATACACACATGCTGTTTCCCTTTACCGCTGTCTCTCTCTCTGTAACTCCTTCATTTCTCCATCTCTCCCTGGCTCTCTGCCTCTGTCTCCATCTCAGCTCTGTCTCTCTGACTCTGACCCTGTCTCTCCACGTCTCCATCCCTTTCTCCCTCTCCCATCTCCAGCACACCCCGTCTGTCTTTTCAGGACCCCACACATCGACGGCTTAGCCCGGGAGGGTGTCCGCCTCACCCAGCACATCTCTGCAGCTCCCTTGTGCAGCCCCAGCCGAGCCGCTTTCCTGACGGGAAGGTACCCCATCCGCTCAGGTGGGTAGACGGCTGTCTCTGCTACCCGCTGCGAGCAACATGCACAAAGAGATCACTGCGTTTCACATGGAGAGTTTAAATCATGTCTGATGACATGGAAGTGACAGAACTAGACGTGTGGGGACAGGGAGGTATCCCTGGGACGTATCTGTCAGAACTCTGAAAACTTTGATCAAAATATTTCAGCAGGAGAGACAATAGCATTGTCCTTTGGGTCAATTTACCTCCATTTTAAAGAAAATAACAGAAGAGAAGAAAAATATTACCATACACTCTAGTTGTATGTTGGTTTTTATTTTTATTTTTATTTTATTTTCTGCTGTTCTTGGACAGAGCTGGGTTTCAACCCACAACTTCTGGCATATGGAGCGCCCCATACACCAGAGGTGGTGGGTTCAAACCCAGCCCCAGCCAAAAACTGCAAAATAAATAAATAAATAATAGCCAGGTGATGTGATAGACAGCTGTAGTCCCAGCTACTTGGGAGGCTGAGGCAGGAGGATGGCTTGAACCCAGGAGTTTGAGGCTGCTGTGAGCTATGATGCCACAGCACTCTACCCAGGACACCAGAGTGAGACTCTGTCTATAAAAGAAAATTAAATAACCTGTATGGAAAATGAGCAGAGTGCTTTTTGATTTGTGGGCAGGTTCTGCAGTGTAACCATAAACAGTGTCTACAATGCAGACAAGTCAGTATTCAAGTTTTGTTTACGGTCAAGATTGGGGAATACCTTGGGCTCTTAAGGGTGTCAGGTGAACTTTTCTGCTTCGTGTGGTTTATAATATCTGGTGTCTCTCAAGTTAAGGGAAATAAGGTCCAGCGGGTGCTAAATTATATGCATTCTAGATGGTGGTTCTGGGAAGCAAGACTTGGTGCAACGAATCTCATGATGTTGACTTAGACGAGGAAAGAAAAGGTCTTACCTTAATCCATTCAGGGGCTGCTGTAACAAAAATACCACAGACTGTGTGGCTTAAACAAGAGACAGTCAATGCTCACAGTCCTAGAGAATGGGAGTTAAAGATCCTGGCGTGGCAGATGGCGTGAGTGCCGGAGACTCACTTCCTGGTTCATAGATGGCGCCTTCTCACTGTGTCCTCACATGGTGGGAGGAGTGAGGGAGCTCCCTGGGGTCCCTTTTATAAGGACACTGATCCCATCCCCTGAGGCTGCACCCTCATGACCTCAACACCTCTCAAAAGACCCACCCCCTAACACCGTCAACTTGGAAGTGAATTTTAGAGGGACATAAACATTCCACGTATCGCAGCACCTATTCTCTGTTTTTTGTTTCACATGACATTTAGGTATGGTTTCTAATGGCAATAACCGTGTCATCCAAAGCCTTGGGGTCCCCAGCGGACTCCCTCCTAATGAAACGACATTTGCAGCCTTACTCAAGAGACAAGGGTACAGCACAGCGCTCATAGGTAAGAAGCAACCACTTAGTTATCACTGTGAACCATCAATTACAAGGGAATAGTATCCTTTGCTCTATTTCTGCCTTATCATTTTCTTGGTAACCCTTTATTTTGAAATGTTGTGTTGTCTTCCCAAGGGCAGGCAAGACTCTGAGAGATCTGGGTTCCACAGATAGCCTTTCAGTTGTCATCTCCCACCTTATACCTTCACTCCCCAAGATAGCGTAGATTGTACATATGGTTTCTGTATTGCAAGAGTGTGCACCTGTCCTCTCCAGAACTGGTCCTCACTGCAGTGTTGGGAGTCTCTGCTGAACTTACAAACACACACACATGCACACACACACACACACACACACACACATTCTTTCCTGAAGTGCATTTTTTCATTTTTTTTCAGAGATAATTGAGACACACCTGAAGACTTCCTCTTGTCTAATTCGCATCTGCCAAAGTGATCCTCTTAGGCACATCCATACCACTCTCGACTTCTCATGTTTCTAGACACCCTGCTATGCATGGATTCACTTCTATATCATTACATGGGTCATTATGAAAATTTGGGAATACACAAAAATCAAGAAAAGTGAAATCATGAGGGCAAAAACAAATGAAGCCCTTTTCTAGTGTCACCAATAAGCCAAACAAGTTGGAATGTGCGTGGATGAATCAGAAAGGATGTTGTCAGCTGTGTTCCTTGGAAGTGAAATAAAGAACTCTAATGCAGTCTTTGAAAACAAAACTTTCCTACTGACCCATGTACAAGATGGCCAGCAACATCAAGGATTAAAATCATTAATTTTAGATTTTTTTTAGTCTATTCATGTATTCTTTATCATTGATTTTTGTCCACCATAACCTATGTATCTAACCATCCACTCACCATTTGTTTATCCGTATCTATTTATTTTATCTATCTCTATTGTATCTGTCATCTATGTATATCTATCTGTATTATATCTGCCCTCCATCTATGGATATATTTGACTATTCTATGTCTGTCACATCTATCATAAATCTATCTCTATTTATCTCTCCATCCACTCAGCGTTGATCCATCCATCTATATCCATATTCATGTCTATAGCTTTGACTGTATCTGTCTATATCTATTTATTTTATCTATCTCTGTATCTATTATTTATCTATTTTATCTATCATCTATCAATCTATGTATCCATCCATCCTATCTGTCTATCCATCCATCCATCACTTCCATCTATCTATCCATCTGTCCACTTCTTCCATCTATCTATCCATCCTATCTATCTATCTATCTATCTATCTATCTATCTATCTATCTATCCATCCATCACGTCTATCTATCTATCCATCCATTCTATCTATATCTATCTATCCATCTATCCATCACGTCAATCTGTCTATCTATCTGTCCATCCTATCTATCTATCTATCCATCCATCCATCACTTCTATCTATCTATCCATACGTCCACCTGTTCCATCTATCTATCTGTCCATCCTATCTATCTATCCATCCACCCATCACTTCCATCTATCTATCCATCCATCCATCTCTTCCATCTATCTATCTATCTATCCATCCATCCATCACGTCCATCTATCCATCCGTCTATCTCTATTTATCTATCTATCTATCCATCCTATCTATCTATCTATGCATCCATCCATCACTTCTATCTATCTATCCATACGTTCACCTTTTCCATCTATCTATCTGTCCATCCTATCTATCTATCTATCTATCTATCTATCTATCTATCTATCCATCCATCACTTCCATCTATCTATCCATCTGTCCACCTCTTCCATCTATCTATCCATCCTATCTATCTATCTATCTATCCATCCATCCATCACTTCTATCTATCTATCTATCCATTCTATCTATCTCTATCTATCTATCTATCTATCCATCCA